GGTTAAGACCTAAAAGACAAAAAAAAATTATTGAAATTGGATCACTGAATTAGGAATCAATTCTTTTTTTATGATTTATTAAAATTTAGTCATAATAATAATATGAAATACTTTTTCACGATTTTCTTATAATTTAGTATTTCAATTTCAATAAATTTTTTATTTTATTGAGAAAATCAAGATCTATAAAACAAAAAAAAGTTCATTGAAATTGGATCATTGGATCAAGAGATAATTATTTTCTTTTTTTGCCCCGATTTTACATAGTAAGACACTGCCGATCTTAACCGAATTAGCAATTAAAATGCTTGTTCAAATAAGCGTTTAACGAACCACCATCAGCGTATTCTAAGACTAAAGAATATTTCTGAATCTCGCCTAATTAAATTAATTTATATTTAAATAATTATTTGTTATTAAGAAAAATTGATTGTCACGTTAAATATATTATTAATACTTACTAATTTCTACCTTTGTGATTCCACATAACCGTATGATATTTTCATGTACATCAACACTTCGGTGTATCTTTAACTGTGTCGTGTTATATTAAGATATTATTGGTTATTACCAATTCCAATATTTATATTAATCATACTTTTTGAAAAATTACCTCTTTCACGATTTCTTCAAGAGTTTGTTTATCATTACTAAAAGATTTCAAGGCGAAGAAATGATCAGTATTTTTCCAATTAGCACGATTGACATTTCCATATGAACCACTTCCTATTGGTTGAATATTTTTGAAGCCTGAATAATCATAGAAGTTGATATGTTCATCGATAATTGATTTCTCCAACCATTCAATATAATGGTTTGAATTTTTTAAGATGGTTTGTTTTAACATTTTTTTATTTTATTTTCTAATTAAGTTGAAATTACATTATTCTTTTTATACTTAATAACTGATCGGCGAAATTTAAATTTTTTTGAAACGAGAATATATTGAATTATCGTAATGTTGCATAAAGTTTATTCTTATAAAAATTCGAAAATTCTTTTTTTAGATTAGTTAATAATTTAAAAAATTAAATTCACCACGTATGACAACTGTGAACTACTAAGTGACGAAAAAAAAAGATTATAAAAGTCAATAATACAAAAATGGAATTTGCAAAAATTAGCCAATCAAGTTTTCTACACTTCGTAATCTTTAATAATTACCATTTGGATAGATATTAGAAGTTTGCGTTTGTCATGTTTTGATATTACATAATTTGTTTTTTTTCATAATTTTGTTTCTTTGTAGCATATTAGTGGTTTTCATTATGTACATAATAAACAGTTAAATGGGATTTTCAAGGTATTACGAATTTGCAGATCAGTACGGTACAGTAATATAATAATGTCACATTTAGGTTCGGTCGTTTTACCGACATGAAAAATTACCTAACTTCGTTTCACTGAAATGACATTTTATCGACACAAAAATTACCCGACTTTCCATTTCACCGAAAATTTATAACTGCCCGCAATTGACCCGCACTACGGCACGTGACAAATATAAGTTTTCTCGAGATAAATATAAACAGTGAAACCTTAAAAAACTATGACACATGATTGCGGAATTTTTCGAGTGTTACTTGGCTTCACTCCTTACTGTGATCGTTATAATCGTTCTTCTGATTTTTTAAAGGGAATTGCTCAAAACATTTCTTTGTTTATAATTTTGATAATTAATAAAGAAAATTTTATCGCCTTTAGAAAATTGTAGGCTTATTTACTTTTCAAATTGCAATGATAAAATTAAATTTATTCAATAAACAAGTTAACATTAAACATGGCAGGGAGCTATAGTCATAGTATAATTAGAACTGTAATAATTCTGACTTTTTTTTTAATTAAGTTGGTTTATACTACCATACAGTATCATAATTATTATGATAAATAGTTTTTAAGATTTAAAGAGAATTTCTAAATTTTAACTGGTGGAAAAATTACTGGTAGATCATGTGATTGTGTATTAAATATTCATGTGATTTATTATGATGATGCAATTT